CTTCCCCCCCCCCCCCTCAAATGTTCTAACATCCTTTTGTGGTAACTGTTCTTATTTACTTAAAATAATAGTTTCTCTTTAATAATACAATGTAATTAAACTTGTTCCTCTTAGCACCCATGGCACACTCAGCAGCCTTCCAAGAGAGAATTTATTTCCCCTCTCCGTAGTTTGCTTTGCAGCTCTTAAAGAGGTAAAACGCCAGTCCTGGCACTAGAGGTGGAGGCCTAAGCCCCCCTTTCCCTCCGTGGGCCAGCCTGCAGCAGGTAGAGGCTCCTGCCACAGAAGCAAGGCAGGCAGCTGGGAGCAGTCAAGAGATCAGGCCACTGCATCTATGAGTCATTCTGAGCCTTGCTGAAAGTCAGGAGGATTTAGGATAATGTTTTCAAATTAATCCCGTTTTCAGTTTCACCGATGTCAGGGATACCAGGTTGCATTCTAGCCGCACCTCATTACTGTTCCATGTGAGGAACCACCGCAGTACCTTTGAACAGGTAGCTTTGATCTGTGTGACCTACCTGGCTGGAGCTGACAGTAGCTCAACTCCCCATACAGTGAACCAACATTTCAAAAATCCTCTCAACATGGTGTGTTGAATAGAGTGTGTTACCACAGAACAACTTAAAAGTCTGTACTCTGTGAAAATTTAGCTGATTCAGAACCTGACATGCTGCTTTCTAAACTTACTTAGCAATCGCTATAATACTGCTTTTTAAACAAATGTAGGAATGCTATAGTGTGAAAATCTAGACTGAATCCTGTCAGCTACAAATATGTCTGTTGTCTAGTGAATAGTTTCCTGCTTTCCCTATGCCATTAATGAATTCCATAGATTTCCAAAACTCTTTGCAGAACATTCTTGTTTTCTTCATACTCTTAAAAAAATATTATTCTTGGCATATTTTTTTTTGTTGTTGCATAGTTGAATTGTGTTTATCTGAATCCATGTGCAAAGTTCACTTATATTTGTACATCTCTTACTTTACCTGCTTTCAAACTATACTTTTAATATGCTATCCAACCCAAATACTGAGTTAGGAAAGCATAAAAGTCACTAGAATCAAGCCGGTTTCTACAAGAATTTTAAAATATATTTCAAAGAGGTTTCATATGCAAGACAGAAAATAATTTAATTTACCTCTTAGAACTCATGTCCCCCTATGGGGACAGGCCAAATTAATTTTATATGTAATTTAAATACAAATTAAGTGTGGAGATTACAAAGTTAATAATCTCATTGTGTATGGACATTTTTACTTAAACTAATTTAAGCTAATTTAGTCCATACCTATTTTTCATTTAAAAACTCTTTCCTTCCCAGGTGAAATATCAGTTTCTTTAGAAGATGATGAGGATGCTCCAGGAGATCCACTACTTTTTATGTCCCATGTCAGACCAGTTCAACTAGGTATAGTATGATGGTGCAGAGAGATCAATAACTAAAAAGCAGCATGGCTGTCAGAGCACTTTCTAGTAGCTTAAATACACTGTCATTCTGGTTTTGATCAACGTAGCTTTAAAATAGCCACACTTTTGCACCATCTCCTTCCCAGATTTAGCACTCAGCAGTCTCATGCATCACTAGATACGCTGTATATGATACAACACCTGCATGACCACTGTTCACATTCAAAATGCATGCCATGCTATAGCTCAATGATATAAACCACATTACTTTTGTTAAATGCTAGTGGAAAATACACAAAATGGAGGTGTGTCATATCCATGTCAACTTGTGGATTTTCTCTAAGTCATGTAATTTCTGCTTAAAGCATCATGAGTGAATGGCCTGAGCCAGGAAATGAAGAGGTCAGACCTGTCCTGAGCAACCCAGATTTGCAGTGGTCTTCAAAGCAACTGTATCCTCTCTCCAAGCAAGGGGTGGTCAGCAGTGCTTTAGTCCCACCGGCCATAAAACATCTCATCTGGAAACTGTCCTACCATAGTAGTTTGGCTCAGGAAGTTATTACAGAGCAAAGGCACAAATCTGGCAAACCAGAAACAGGAAGAAGATCCTAGATGTGAGCCCCTTCAAGGGGCTGCTAACGGGAATGGAGAAACCCGAACATATTTTAGACAGAATTAAGGCAGTTGATGAATTGATTCCATGCTTGGATGAATAGCAGCACTGTCCTGAATTTCCTACATGCTTTTTCAATTTTTCACAAACTCTCTATGCTCTAGCATACATACCAGTCCAGTTACAATAACCTTCACTGCAGAATCACCAAGGTGTCATATTCAGGGAGAAAACAATGCTCCATCTAAATCTACAGCTTTTACATTACACACTACACCCATCTTGCCCGGTGTTCAATAACAAGAAATTAAAGAAGATACAAGAATTTCACATGGAATTATATGCACGTATATATGAACAAAACTTTTCTTGCAGTAAGTATCTGAATCAATTTTTTTGCAACATACTGCCAAGCAGATTAATTTGGCCTGCTAAAAAATCTTCAGTTCTGAGAAACCTGCTTTCTACAAAGCCAGCAAAATAACTTCAATTGCATGGGCTCCCAAGTATGTACTGATATTAAAATGTCTTCCTCTAGTGCCTCTCTTAGTCTTTAGATTTCAGGCACTATTTCAGACACCACTGAAAGAAAAACATTGAGTTCTTTGTATCTGTATTGCATAATAATTTTGTTTCAGCAGATTTCTTATTTTGAGGAAGCTTAGGAAAAAATCAAATATGGCATAAACACATCTTTCAAATTAAAGCATAATGTGTATCTTAATTTACAATAAATTAGAGCTAAAATACATTTGAGACATAAAAAAAAATTTCACACTGGCTGTAACAACTTTGTTTCAAAGCAGTGTCTGTGGGTAGGATATTTTGAATCACAATGTTTTTTAAAGGGAACGAGGAACAAACAAAGCCACCATTTTCCACTCCGCAAACAGCAGAATGAATGCTCATTACACCGAATCACTAGAACTCATTTGAACTAATACCCACAACAGAAGTGAGCTCCATTGTAAATGAACTTCCTAGTGAGAAATACTGGTCTACACAAAAACTAAAGAAACCTTGTCCCTCCCCGACTGCCCCATGCTCTATGGCTTTGACTGGGAAGTTGCAGGGAGCACCTTCCGCATTCTTCTTCCTCTTTTCTTCCCCTGGGCCTGTTCTCTCTGGTCTTCATGGCACTCTCTGGTAGTGAAGAATGAACCACTCCAGAAATACAGATAATTGAAATACCCCTGGTAGCACTGAGCAGAGACTGCATGAAGCCTATTTGATGTTGGCAGTTGTCAACCATGGCAATTCTTATGGTTGCATTCACCTGTAAACAAGCATTTTCTTTCGTTCCCCCAGGAAGAAATAAAGAAAGCATAATTGAAATGTCACCTGAAAATTACCCTCCTCAACAACATATCAATGAGCTGGTTGCTGCAGAGTCCCAATTAACACAGGATGAACAGGGAAAAAACTATATCTGTTAGTACAGTTTTTTCACAACTAGAATGAATTACTGAGACTAGCAAAGAATGCCTGTATCTAGGACAAGTTTGTCCCCAGACAGATGGTTATACACAAGTATGCTCCACTGTATGTACATGCAAAGGTCAAATATTTTTGCCAGCATTCAAAGCTCAGCGACTATAAAGTATCCAACCCCCATAACCTTGCTTGCCCTTTTGGAATAAGACACTAGCAAAGGCATTTATCACTTCAGTATGATTGCAAAAAACTGTGTCAGTTACTGTGCACTTTCATGTTTGCTATCTTTGATGAAGCACCAGAATTGTGTGTTGTTTTTTTTTTAAATAGTTATTTTTGCAAAGATTTAGAAAAAGCATGAGAAACTACTTTCCAAACTAATTAATTAAAATGAAAACTTAAATGAAATTCATAATTAGAAACAAAGAAACATCAAAAAACTATGAGAGATCATATTTCAGTGTTTTAAGTAATTGCATGGTATCCTTTACCTCCCAGTATTATAAAGTTGATGAGTGGAGAAAATGTAAAAATTTATTAGTTCTGCAGAGTAAGATAACTCAAGACTTTAATTTTTACTAAAAAAGCTGCCAAATATTTTTGATTGACCTGCAGTGAGGAAGGTGGAGGTTCTGTACCATGAGAACCAGGTTCATTATCACATAAATGTTCTTGTCTGACTTAAGGCAAAAGTTTCCATTCCTCAGCTCCCCACAAATCGGGTGCTTTGTTAAGAGTTAAGGATCAGATTCTTCAGATCCTTATGCGGTTTAAATCTCTCCATGTGTGTAAAACCAAAGGTACAGCATGAATGTAGAAGATAAGTCTTGATGATAATGTCAGTGATTCAGGAACCAATTTATTACTGTGCTAATGCAGCACTTTGTATCTTCCAAACAGCACTCTTCTACTCTCTAATGTCTGAATGACAAAATGGCTCATGGGTTATTCTCTAAGGTGTTACAAGTAAAAGTTCAGTGTATTTGGGCACAGAAGAAAAAAAAATGTTCCTCTTAATTAAATGTACATGCACGTTATAACTGCCAGTATCGGTTTTCAAGATGATTATCAGAATTAACAAAAAATGCTGACAAATTAACAATAAATAGCTTCATTTTAATGTCACCTCTGCTCCATCTTTCTTTGGAGAAACAAGTCATGACGAAACAGCATACTTCATTCTCATTCTCTCTATCCTTTCCCCACCCCAACCACCCAATGCAGGTAACCCGTATCTGTGTCTCTCCCCTACCCCACACGATGCAGGTAACCCAACATCAGCAATACAGGCTTCCAAAACACCGGCTTTTATTCCAACAGTAGCAAATGAAGGAGGAAAACACTGGACTGTTAATGAAGTCAGAGCTTTGATACGCATATGGTCAGACAAAAATATCCAGCAACAACTGGAGGGGACAGTGAGAAATAAAAGAATATTTGAACAGGTTGCTGCTAGACTTCAAAAGTTTGGAATTGACAGGGACTGGAAGCAGTGCAGGACTAAATACAAAAATCTGAAACATGAATACAAGAGTGTAAAAAGTGCCCAAGACTCAGGGAGTACAAGTAAAAGTATGAAATTTTTTAATGAACTGGATGCTATTCTGGGGCACAGCACCATGGAACAAGCAAGTAAATCAGATATTGATGAAAGTGAGAGGCCTCCAGAATGGACAGAAGCAAAGTCAGAAAAAGACTCCATAGGTAAGTACTTCAGCTACCCATATATCACTTATTTTTTTTAGTTTTCCAGCACTAGAGAAACCTTAAAAGAACCCCCCAAAAAGCAACCAGCTAGATTAACCAATTTGCTGGGGGAAAAAAAAAAAAAGAGTAGAAATTTACTATTTTGTCTATTAGTTTTGGTTTACATTATATGGTCATCTTTCAAATTCAGTGATTGCTCTGAACTTTTTTTTAACAGAACTGAGAAACAAAAGGAGGAAAAAAAGATTAAAACATAGGATATGATAAAGTGATACAGAGAGACCATTCCAGTCAAAATCATGGCAGAAGAGACTGTTTACATCTTAGATTTAAAAATGGATCAGAGAGATGGTCAGACTGTGTTACTGGAAACATAAATGCATTGAGCAAAAGAAGCCTGTTGTTATAGACATTGCTTAAAAAATTAACATTTAAACTGTCTTTCTCTTATGGTTCCCCAATAGCCCAGTTTTACTGGCCTTTGGAGCAAGACTCACAAACTAGTGAGACAACTATTGTGAAAACAGCAAAATGAATAGAACCAAGAATACTGGCAGAGCTTGCCTTTATTTTTGTGTGGTTATTGAAAAATAACTTGGTAATGGATGGATTAATGCAGAATTAAGAACAGACTGATGAACCTACACTACCCAGGAGTTAAAACATTTTTTATTGGTATGTTCAACCAGAAACGTGCCTGTTGTTTAAGAACAGAATTAAACATAAACCTCTTTATCACACAATAAGAATCCTACACAGGGAATGATATTACTGTGGCCAAATATAAGACTAGAAGTTAGTAAATTAATTGAAGAAGTCAAGAAAAATAGAACACACAGTCTCTGGCTGAAAACTATGAGAATATTTTGGGGGAAGATTCACTCTGTAGTTGCCGTTTCTAGGCTTTTTGCTAATGCATCTACTACTGCCTGCTGGCATAAAGAGCATCCTAGGTTGGACAGATCTTGTGATTTGACACAGCACAGGTGTTCTTCTGTAGTACACAAATGTGGTGCCCTGATTAACATAGCATTATTTATGCAGAAATGCCTGGAGACACAGGTGAAGAGGACTCTGTTAGTAATATGTCAGAAGACCTACAGGTTGCAGATATAAAGAAAGTTTCTGACTCAGGTAAACTGAAAAGTCTTCTATTTTATATAAATCCCTAAATTTAGTTAAGATGTATTTCTAAAATAAACCCATGTTGTAATTACAGTTAGAAAATGCAGAGGCCTAAAAAATTTATAAGCAGGAGATAATGTCATAGTGATAACCATACTTTCAATACAGGAATATGCGCACATTTACAGTGTTCTGCTGAATTTGATAAAAACAGTCTAGTAAGTAATCTTTTCAAAGATTCATGACCCAAGATGTAAAGAAGAATAAACTATTGCTTTAAGCAAGTTGAGTGCAATGTATTACTGCATTTACTTTTACTTAAACTATGTCTTCCCAAGGATTAGAATCATTCAGTCTCCTGTGCATGAACTAGTAACAGCATTCTCTTTTTCACAATATAATGTGATCAGCATTTAATATAATTGTGTAAATACTCATGTTAGGGGATGAGAACTTCATTTCAGAGTATCACTACTAGCACTGAATATGAAGGTCATATGCTCTTTATAAAGAAATTTGGTTTACATCTGAAGTTTACAACTTTCAGGGAAAGCAGGAATTTAACATTCAGCTAGAGACACAGTCTCAAAGGCTTGACTCTACAATAGAGGACCTCATGATCTCTTTCAGTAGCAAGAGGAAGAATGTGGTCTAAATTAGACATTAAGGAGTAGTCTTACAGAATTTAAAATGGTCTAATGTGAACTTGAAAGATTTTAATATCAAATTAAAAATCTTCTGACAGATGATGTTACTGTAAATACTACTCCAGAGAATCGGGCAGCTCTGCATATAAGGAAAGAAACAGCTATGACAAGTAAGTAAAGACATCATGAGAGGTTATTTGAGGTATACTGGACAGTAGCATTATTGTTTCACCATCCAAGAGCAATTACATTTATTAATTTAAATTTACTAACAAATATATAACTGGCCTTTCACCAGATCACCATGGGCACTTGAGGCATTCACTGGAGAAAAACAGGTTGTCATGAAAAGTGCATTGCCTGTAGGGACCTCATTTTGAGACAGACAAAATATGTAAGAAATCATAAATGGTACTTTGTGAGATCTAGTTAAGACTATTTGTAAAATGCATAAAATTCCATTTCTTCCCATCATCAAGTAAAATTACTACACAGACATGAACTGTAATACTACACAGATTCAGCACTGCCACTAAAGTATCATCTGACAGTTTTCAACTGCCTGCAGCTTGTAATATTGTAACTTTTTGGACTGCAAACTTTCAACAAGTTATTTACTTCTGGTAAAGTTCTGAGTACTCATTTTTGACACTTGAACATTCCTTTAGGATAAGTGTAGGTGTTAAGACATCTACATCTTACCTTGATTACCATTTCCTTTCTCAAATATATGCATTTTAACTGTATATTTTGTTTGTTTATGGGTAATTGTAATGGAGATCTGATTTTGTGAGGAAAGATTAAAATAGCAAGTATTTCAGAAGTGTCTCTGGCTCAGCCTATCCACTCTAAAGACTACTGTTCAAAATTCTGTGGGGAAAAAAAAGCAAAACCACAGCACTCTTATCACAAAGAGATGCAGTTTCTGTTTCCAAAATTCTTTCTCTCATTCCCAGATGAACAATACAGACTCAAATGATTTTATCACAGGTGGTAAAAAGCACCTAGACTTTAATGTTATTAATGGTAACATAATTAGGTATTACATAAAGCAGAGAAAAGATGTACACTGTTTATGTTACAGTATCATGGAGACCCTTTATTCTCTGATGGTGGTACATGCCTTTCCTAGACAGTTCAAACAAATTTAAAGTGAAAAACTGCTAAGTAAAGAGATTGTATGTACCTCTGTATTCATAAACTTACTTGCTGATAAATAGTGAAAAAGAAAATCAGGCAGTGATGTATTACACTGGTTCTTTGATATGACTAGATGTCTGACAATTGATAGCCTTTAGGATGTGACATCTTAAGGACTACTCAATATTCAAGAGAACTTCGGTAGAAAACTGTTTCTCACCAAACATCTAATTATAATTTATATATACTTGTGCCTTTAAAAAAAATATAAAATAACGCAATTTGACATAAATAATAATTTAGAAATTCTGTTAAACTTTATATCAGGATATCTACCTAATTAGTACATGGAGTTATGTACTAATGTCAGAGTTATACATACACTTGTCTAGAGATATACTAGCTAGCCTGGGCAGACATCTGCTTTCTGACAACCGCAGTTGCATAAATGCACAGAGGTGCACAAGCTGCCTCAGAAGTGCATGTGCTTCTCACGATCTTACATGTGAATCTGAGTTACTAGCCACCGTAACATTGTCACCACTGCCAATCTTTTATAAACAGTCCTATCAGGGTTGCCATAAGGAAAAAATTAAGAGGGCAATAGTCAAAAGACAAATATACCAGTTTCAGGAAAATATCTAGTTATTGGATGTTATTGTTTTCCTTCTCTACCCACATGTATTTACCACTCAAAGGGCAGCAAATGTCCATCTGTGAAGGAAAAGACAGGTACATAAATCCTTACATGTTCTCCTATGGACTGTAGCAGTTTACTGACCCTTCTCTGGCCGCGCTGCCATGAAGCCACTTTCTCAACAGGCTGGCCAGGAGAGGGTGCAAGAGCATCACAGCAATCACAAACCCATACAGGTTTTAGTGAAAGCAGCCTAGGAAAGGCTGGGGCCAATGTAATTTTTTCTCTTTTCTGGTAAAACATATCCATATTAAAACAATCTGGAGATAAAACCTTATTCAGTTATTTTGACTAATGTTTTCTATTTTATGAGATCACTTTTAAGGACAGTTAATTCCAGAATTCTATTCAGAAAGGCCAATTACTTCAGCTTGCACAGGCAGCAGTCAGTCGTACGTGCACATTCCACATGGGTCAGACTTTGCAGTACGACCACAGATTGTATATCGGTGTTTGATTAAATCTGAAGTGCCAGGGAACAACAGTGGAGATGAAAACAAGATTGTTACGAATGCCAGTAGCCTGATGTTCTTAAAAAAACATCTACAGCAAGTATTTTGCTTCAAACAAATGCCTTTTCTTTACATTATTTTTTAGGATTTTTTGTGCCCTGCATATTTTACTGTATGTCTTTCTCAGAACAAATTTGGAGTAAGCCATGACACTGACAAAATACATTCCTAAGCGAGGGCTTTTAAAAAATCTGGTGTTTAAAGTTAAGACCTTAAGTTGGTACAGACTAAGGCATTATGTTGGCTTGAACACTTACAGCTGTGTGCTTGGAATTTTAAAATGTACAGATACTAAGACAAAAGATAATATTTTAATACATATGCCCCAGGCTGGTGTTAAGTAGAGTGTTACAGAGAAGTGCAAACCGAAAAGTTCTTGATGATTCACTGGCTTAGCCCAAGGCATACATACCTGGGCTGGAGACACAAACTCCTAAATTTGAATCCAAGTTGTCTATAGCCAGTCTCATCAATCTGCATGACAGAGACAGCAGCAGCTATGCAAGCTGTTGGAGAGTAAACATAGGCCACACACTGAAAATTTTCTCTAGCTTTGACATTTCCAACTCCCCTTTTATATGAGGCACACATGAGAGTGAGGATTAGGAGACAAATTAATAATCTTGCCTCATGAGCCAGAAAACAGGATAAATAGTGATAGCGACAGAGTGCCAAAAGAGAACAGAGCTTGTATCAGTCTGAGGGGGTAAAAGGAAAGACTGCGACAGCATTGCTCTAGTGGCCTTATGAGCAATGCTTCAAACACTAAGTAGAGATTAAACATATTTGCTGGCAACTGTCTATAGCTTCACTAAACAATGTGGATGGAGCCACTGTATTTTACCCATGCCAGAAACTGTCGATGGTTTATCCTGTTTGGCGCAGTCTTGCTCTCCTCATGCCCTCCCTCCAAAAGCTCTGAACGGTGGCTTAGAAAAAAAGCCAGGCTCCCTATCCACATTCTTGGCTCACTAAGGAAAAAAACAAAAAACAGGCACATGACACTGGTCACATCACAAAGAATGTCCGATGCAAACAAGGCCATATTGATTTGGGGGTAATTTTTAATAAAATGGGTCTAGATTATGCTTTATTGCTCAATGTTTAGGGGCAATATTCTTGAATGGACTGAGAACAGGCTGGGAGCCAGAAACTGCTGCCATCGATCCGCGGTGTGGCCTTCACCATTTAATCTCTGTACAGCAGTGTCCTCACCTGGAAACGAGGATCAAGGATTGGAAAGACCACTTGCATCATCCGCCTGTCCATCGGTCCATCTGGGAGGGGTGGAGCTGTCCCTTAAACACCAGAGGGCCAATGGCAGAGGAACAGAGATCTCCTCCCTGCAGAGGGGAGCCCAGGGACACCTCTGTCACCATGTCCAGAGCCAGGGCCCAACTGCATGATGTAAAGCCCTCACAAACTGCAGCAGGGGGGATGCTCTCAGGACAGTCATTTAGTAGTTTGTCTTTATCATGCAGGCAGGCAGCCTTGCAGTTCCATCATCCAGGCACTGCACCCTGATGCAATGTCAGGGTCCTTGCCCTTTCTGGGGCTAATTCAGTGACTCTTGGCATCAGTTGCTTGGGATTCTTTCAATAATTTCAGTACGTATTGAAGCACCCCTTGTGAAAGTCACTGTCTTGCCTGTTCTGCTTCATAGAGGTTCACGAGTTACTACACATCTTACAACCATAATCAGCAAATCATTCTACAAATTCTGATCCAGATTTAAATAACTTTTGCATATTTAATCCATAAACTTATATTATACAGCTTTTAAAGTGGTGTTCTGTATTTATTTTAATATATAAGTGCACATACTCTGCTCTTAAGCCCACTACTGCAGAAAAGTGGCAGCTTTACTGTATTAAGAGATGAAATCTTTAACAATAGTTATCACTAATAGCATTCTGAAGTTGGTGAGACTCAAGACATAACTCAAGACCTGTTTAGTTAACAAGAACTCTGTAAATTTATTTTTTTTTTACAGAAATCCCTGAAGGTGAGGGGGACTTCACCAACTCCACCCCGGCAGCTCTGGGAGCTACACAAATAAAGAAGGAGACAATTGACATAGGTAGGTCAAGACTGTGTCTTGATGGTTAGAACAAAACATTACTTTACTGGGAAGTGCAGATTTCTAAGGTTCATATGTTATTTCTGCACATTATATCTGTATCTGTTGTAGTTTGAGGTTGTGATAAAATCTGGTTTTTGTTTGATTTTACAGTGCAAAAATGTATAAACACTTATTTCTTCTTCCCCCAGCTGATAGTAAGATCATATTTTTCCAGACAACACGCTCCCCATTATGCTAGATGTGATAAGTCTGCATTTGATTGTGACACAAATACTGTTCTTTTTCATACATAGTTGCTAGAGAGAATAAATTGGAGAGCTAAATAGCTGTCTCAGAAACACTGAACAGTTTATACCTTGTCTGTCTTTTCAAAATACTTCATGACAGTGCATTTAATTTCAGACTATTCACTATCAAACAATTGCCATAAATATTCTGAATCATTTTACAAGTAGAACTCAAATCAGAGCCTCAGCAATATGTAGAAATCATACATTCAGTGACAAGTATTCAGGAGAAGATTTGTTTTATTAAAAGTATTAAAATTTAACATTAGAATACAGTATGAACATTAATCTTCTGGAATAAATAAGCATAGAAACCATGGAAGGTCATGGAAAAAAGGCATCAGAAGAAATAACGATGATATTGAAATCTATTGACATGACATCCTGCATCAAAATATGCTTTATGGTAGTGCTCTTTGTACCCTGAAGTTAATGGAAAGAATAAAAATCTATTGTAATGATTCTGTGAACAACAATTCTTTGGCCTTTTCCATTGTATGCATCACTATTTCTGTGATCCAGTCAAGAGCTTGCTTCTCAGCAATTATGTAATCCCGAGTTTGGGTGTTGAGACACCCTATCCAACACAGCTTTTACAACTGTTTGCAAAGGCTGATCTTGATTATGAAAGACAACTGTAACGAGTATGACACTGAGGACAACATCAGAGCAATGCCATCACAGCAACAACACACAGAACCACAAGTTACTTTGAGGATAAAGTAAATCTGTGTCCCTGAAAGTTCAGAGACATAGCTAGGTCACACTAATGCAAAGAAAAGAGTTCATACACAATGACACAGAAGAAAATGTCATGCAAATCAACTGGCTGCCTTATACACACAAATTCCCTGTTCCTGTCATGTAATATCCAATTGAGGACAGTAATCACACAAGTTCCACAATTCCAATTGAGGACAGTAATCACACAAGTAATCACACAAGACAGCAGTACACAAGTTCCACTGCCAAAGGCAGAAGGAGATTAGAGAGCCAGCAAGGTAGAGAGAATGAGCATATAAATGAAAGCCATGGGGGTTTTTTGGTAATAGCTTGGAAAAAAAAAAAAAAAAAAAAAAAGTCCTTTAAGAGCCTAGGAGTAGATTTACTGCTCCATTTTGGTCCTGGATTGTATTTCCAATAGCTGCAATTATTAAAGGAAGATGCAAGATTTTCCTAAGAGTTATGAGGTAGCCTGTTTATGAAAAAAACACTTTTTTTTTCTAGTACCCCAAGTAAATCACATATACATGCTTATGAGAGTATAATTTCTGATTCTGTTTATCACAGGCATAAAATTTATTCCTGCATATAGCTTATGAAAAAAAAAAAAAAAAAGAGAGAAAAGAATTTATAAAGCAAATAGAAATGCATGGACTACTCTGTGGATATGTTAGCAAGTACCATTATAGAAAGCACATCAAATGAACCTGCTTATTTACCAACAATCTCTTATTTCTAACAGTCTAAACCATGCGCTCAGTTTTTCAAAACATGTAAGGAACATTAACTTCTACCCTTTACCAAAAAAATGTATTGAAGGTAATTGGTCTATGACATCCCCTACCAAAACAATGAGAACTAGTCTTTCTCCCCCTCCCAACCCAAAAAGTAATTCCACAAAAAAGTGAACTTTCAGCCTCCGAGAATCCAGGCATGAGGAAATGAGCCCAGAGTCACCAGGTCTGGGTTTTTATGTCCATAGATGATTTCAATAATTCTGAGGGCTCCTGAATTTTGCTTCTGAAGGGAAGTTTTTATGCTGCAAAAGAGTGCAAAGCTATTATAGCCTCAGCTCTGCAGAGAGGAAAAAAACCCTGGCATGTAGTCATGCAGAAAAATAATATTATAATGTTTCTATCCTGTTAAAAGATGTAATTTTGTGGAGAATTCAAATGTTGATAGAATAAAATATAGTTCTTCAGTCTTCCCTATTTTGTCATTTAAGCCACATAGAATAGTTTTGGATAGAACCATCCCTACATATAGAAAGGGCAATTTAAGCTGAAGCTAAAGATTTCCACAAAATCATTAATCAATTGTTTGTTTTCCAGTTTTTCTTCTGCTTATGTTATCTCCATCACAAAAGTTCTGTATCAGAGACTAGACTTTCACCCCAAAGTAAATAAACATGGCTGTCTCCTAAAGGAAGGCAGACATATGCAACCTTCCCCACAAAACCTAACATCTCCCCCTGCCCTCCCTCCCAGGGTAAGGCATGCCTCAAAGCCCAGGTTTGAAACTCACCATGGAAGCTTACTAAAGTGGACTCGAAACCACTTCAGTGTGTGTGTGTGTGGTCAAAAGGAGTCCTGAATAGAGGAAGACAAGTAAGAACAAGGAACAAAGGTCTTTCTTCAGTTTCTGTCTGATGTACCAGGGAAAGTCACAAAGATCTGAGAAAAGCCCCATCAGCAGCATGAAATGCAGTTTATACAAAGCCACACAGCATGCAGGTCTGCCAACAGGTGCCTACGCCTCTCACTCCTCCTCATCACATCCGAGGCATCTGTGCAGTCATGGGCACAGCTTCCAAACTCGAGAGGGGGACAGTGAGTGGTCTTCTAGGGCCCAAGTCTTGGCTCATTTCATGACAAACTGGGGGAGCGTGCATGACCCCACAAAGGGAAAAGCTGCAGTCCAAGCTCTGTTAGGTGTGAGTGAATCTGCAGACGCATGCCCTTACAAATGGCACCAAAGCCTCACCAAGCCTGTCCTGCCCACATCGCCCAGGAAAAAAACTGTAAGGCACACCTGTCCTAACCAGTGTATACAAGCATGTTATGCAAATTGAATTATATGTGAGATACGAACCAACCACGTAAGCCTACGTGATTAACCAAGTATTTTGAGTCTGTGTTGCATCCACAGCTACCTTTTGGGGAATGGAGAGGCAAAAAGAAAGATAGGGCTTACAAGAAATGTCAATAAATAATTTGATTAAGGGAGACATGTGGTAGAAGACTTGCTATAACTAATGGGTTAGACTACTGGATTATGACATTTTTAATTAAAGATAGGTGCTACCCACAGAGAATGACAACGTTAGCAATTTATCTGTCTAAATCCAAGTCTATTTTATTTAAAACTGTGTGTTTCTATAGATGATGATTCTATAAGCACTACCTCAGAAGACAGATCTTGTACGCCAGTTGCAAAACGAATGGTTGGGACAGGTGAGTATTAATTTCCATGCATTTATTCTGAAACAAAATCTCATTGTAATTTCAGTACCAAAGCTGGAGCAACCAAAACTCTGCTGTAAACATAGCTCTACTTTTCTGCTTCTGACTCCAGTCTAGCTTTATCACTAAACTTATAAAATCAGTTTCATAGCTCTATTCCCTGTCACAAGCAAAACTCAAATTAAAACTGTAGTTTAACTTTGCATTCTATACATACCTGATGAGCAGCATCTGCCTACTTCTGAATATGTAGGTAAGATTTTTTTCTTCTATTTAATTCTGAGTAGCATTTTCATTTGCATGATATTTTGCCTTGCCTAAGTTGAAACCATACTGGAAAGGCATTTTCTTATCAATGCTGCTATGTTGTTGCTTTAAAGTTTAAGGCCTACTGCATTCCTGCATGTAGCGCTTGGATACACTTAATTTGACAACAGCAGCAACAAAATTACACTGACAAAATGTAGAATTTTAGATGCCTTGGAGAAACAAGAGATTTCACTTGCTACATATTTTGCATGCTGAAGAGGAATGTCATCATGTATGGATTTAACACTGTAAAATTATAAGATTTTTGAATCAAGAGATTATTATAAATATTAATTAATCCTTCAGCTTGTTACCAAGTCATTAACTGCCCTTACATCTTAATGTATGAATATTCAGCAATACTTAGTTGTTGTTTCATTTATGTTTTCAGACAATCACATTCCCTTGGAAGAAGCACAAAATCACTTTAAAGTTATTACAGTTAATGATACTGGAGCAGGAAAACACTGGAGTGATAATGAAGTCAGAGCACTCATAAACATATGGTCAGATGAAAAGATACAACAAATGCTTGAAGGGGCCACAAGAAATAAAGAAATATTTGAGGAAATTGCCAGGAGATTAATGAAAAGTGGTATAGACAGAGACTGGAAACAATGTCGCACAAAGTACAAGAACCTAAAATATGAATACCGTGCACTGCAGAAGGAAAACGAGCATCTTGGAAATCCCAGGAGAAAAATGAGATTTTATGATGAAGTAGACTGTATTTTAAGAAGACAGCCTCTGGGTCCCTCGAGCTGGGGATGTGAAAGTTCAAGTCTTCTATCAGGTACTAAAAACTTCAGGGCTGAGATAAAGCACTTAAAATGAAACTTAAAGTTGCCTGTTGACCTGTAGGAGGTGAAATATGTGGCCAGAAGGGGGAGGGAAAATAACTGAAGACCCTGTATCTGCATGGTCACGTAGGCAATACTCAGTGAACAGAAATGGAGGAGTTTAGAAGTGAGAACATAAAAAGTGAAAGCACCTGAAGCATTCAGCATTATTAGAGAATCCTTGTGCTTTTGGAAGCTTAAGTGAGATATATAAAATGGTGACAGAATACGTGGCAGGTTTTAGAGGTGATTTATCAGGCATGTAAAGTCTTATGGATAGAGAGCTGAAGGCTCGTACCATTTAGAACTGTGGAAATCTGTAACAATTAAGTCAAGTGCAAGGGCTCCAATAGAGCAAACTTCATTAATTCAATTCACATCACAGACAAGAGAGAGAAAAATCCAGGGCAGTGGTGTTTATCTGAGCACTTGTAATTGTTATATTAATTTTACTAAAGCAGAATCAGTTTTCTAAATAGTTTGCTTCTATTTTAGTATCAACAGACCCCTGATCTAGGAACCACACAGCTAATCTACAGGGGCACCTGCCCCTGATCCAGGCAGATCAGATGCTCTCGTAGAAGCAACTTAACCACTGCACCTTAGAGCTCAGTGAGTTACAGTAAACCAGAAATAATTCTGATTTTTCTCAGTGTGTTAGATAGTAATTTGCAACATCACAAATGTTAGCTGAGGACTTGAACCATTTCTGCAGCAGAGGCCAGATGGACAGCTTGAGCAGAAACCACTGGACCCATCCTTAAACCAGCTGTCCTCAGTCATGAATCATGGTCCTAATGTAGTGTCCAAGGGCACCATAGAGTAGTGCCATTAGTTGAGGCTGGAATGACATCTACACAGCCATGCAATGACACCATTGCTTCTTACTTGCCTTATTCCTTTCCTCAGTCACATTTGTAAGATAGACATTTTCTTCCTAATCCAGAACCTGAAGATATTACTGCTCATTTCTGCTGTGAATGGAATTTGTCAACATCAAGAATATTTGATCCAAGCTGGCTGGTTTACATTTTAGGATGCTGGAAAAGAACTGTGTAATCTTGTGCTGATGCAGGAGACAGTAAAACAATAACCTTTCAGAAAAGAAGCTGTAGTTATTAAGCTGTTTGAGGCATCTACCAAATAAATGTGTCTCTACCCTTATTTATGTGCCAACGCAGCACCTAGATTTTCTAGAAGATTCTCACTGTTCCAGGTCACTTGTCCCAATTCATTTGCTTGTGTACTATAAAGCTTTTTGGTGTATGACTGATTGTGCTTGAGAATCTCTGCAAAATACTTAGTCACCTTGCTTTTCTCTTCTAAGTTTCAGTGGGAGATGTTACAACAAACACAGGATCCCTGAGTATCAAGAGAAGAACATGGAACGATGGTAAGAGCCCCTGACTTTTTAAAGCATCTACACAATGCTGTTGAATGGGATGCCAGATTCTATTTTCCAGTACTCAAATGGTTAAAAAAAACCAACTAGAATTTAACACCAAGCTCTAAACCAACATTCTTCTCTCACCCCCAACAATCTGCAAAAGAAGAGTCCTGATAAAAATATGGGCCTAAGGAAAACCGCAATTTCTTTATTTCAGTCCTCATCCCTGGTATGAATGAAGTAAACATCATAAAATACTTCTTTGGTTTGTAAGAATCACATGCAAGGAAAAGACAAAAAGATTTTAGAAAGGTGTCTTAATTACCTGTGTTGCTCAGAGGAAAATAGGGACAATAACACAGTCATGGTTGTTTTCCTCATATACTATGTGACAGTAAACAAGAGGAGAAATTATATAATGTCTCACATGTAATGTCTAAGATGTACAAGATAAAACAGGCTAAGACAGCTATTCCAAGGAGAAGACATGGTATAGAATCACTGAGAGGGAAAAATGAACGGATGGATGGAAATACACAGCATGCAATCTGATATAGGAAAGGTCTAGAGTTTATTTTTATTTCCTGGCAGAATTGTCAGGCCCTAAATAATCCAGAAGTCCAACAATGAGGGATGATTTTAGTTTAGTTTTTACTAAAATGATGTCTTGTCTACAGACAGATGAAAACAAACAGACCCAAGCACCACATTTCTGAATTCAACCTGCTCAGTTCACCATCAGAAACTGTACTAAGAGGACTAACTCTGTGATTAAACATACTTTTATTTATTGTCTATTAGATAAGTATGTCTTGCAAAAAAAGGCACTAGCTAGGCAAAGCTTAAAGTTTCAAACGTGAGTGATTTTTACAAGGTCTGCTTCATTCCTACTGGTCCTTATACAATGACCACTTACACAACACCAGGCAAAGGCTTGCCAAAAGAGCGTAATGAAGGACAACATTAGGAAAACCTATCATGTGCTAAACTTCAGTGTCAGCAGTTCATTGACTTGTGCACTCTAACTACACACTTTGCTTTTGTCCACAGAGGTGTCACCTGTTCCACTTAAGAAAAGTGCTTCTGAAAACACCATACTCCACTTCCAAAAGCTATTAACAGAGAGAGTCCACACAGTAACGGAAGGCAAAAAGTTACTGTTAGAAAGGCTTTGTAAGCAGGAAGAAATGCAAGACCTCAACAGAACGCAGCTGTATGCTGATCCATCAGCCATACAACAGGTTGGTTTAATGAACTTTCTATGAAATTAGCATGCAAAGATATTCTCTCAGTAAGGAACTGAATAGACTAATTTATGGGGGTAGGTCACCTGCTTGCTCCCCTTTAATATATTCACCTTCAGTCTCTTAAACTAAAACAAGGTATGAGTTCCCACTGTAGTCCATAACTATGAGCTTTTAGCAATGATGTCAGTTAGCCCAATAAAAGATACAATCTCTGCCTACATGCCTTGGCTCACCTACATGCCACAGTTAACAGACTTAATTGGAAGAAAGTAACACTTTGACTGATCAAAGCAAGTATGTACTGTTAAAATTCCATCCCACCATTTCCAATTACCATCTCTACAACCTTCCTAGCAAGTTGGTCCTCTGCAATTAACCAAACAGTTGAAGCCATAAGAGAACTTCCTTTTGATTAGGCAAGGCTGGTGCAGAAAAACCAACACTTATTCCTTTATCAGCATTTACCTGCATGCTGGCCCCACCACTTGCCTATGCTGGGTTGGGGGACCATCCCCATCTGCCCTCTAAGGTATGGTGCTGTGCAGCAATGAACTGGAGAATCCAATGAGCCTGAAAGAAAGTACACAAAGTTCATGCCCACCTAGAAGGTGTAGGCATGGGTTCTCATCCCTGTTCTGTACTGGGCAAGGGGTCTGCCTTGTCCAGTAACCAAATGAAGTACAGAAAACATAGAAACAGTACACAGGGAACAGTGATGTGGTAAGTGACAAATGCCACGCCAAAACTAACCAATACTCTACAAAATCCTACTAGCCACTACTTCGTTTAGTGATTCTCTAAGTACTCTACAACCTGTATTGCCTGCAAGACATGAATTTCCAGGGTTTTCCTTTCAGTGTATTCAAGCAGAACAACTCATTTCTGGATCTCAGTCATGTCTGGGCATAGACCCACACAGTCCTGCCAAAGCTAGGTCAGTTCTGGGCACGCACAAGGGCACAGCTGAAGTCCAACAGTCAAGTCCTTACTGCAGCAGCAACAGCTGCCAGGTTTTTTTATACACCGAGGCCTAAATTCCATCCAAGTCCCTCTACATACAATCTTACACAAAAATATTACTGGATATAGTCCTTTGTTTCCCACTCTATGGTTAATTGTTTTCTTGTTAATTCTTTTATGAGAGACATGACAAAGGTAAATAATTTCCACCAAGGTAGATTTTATCTGTCAATTGACTAGCATTTTTAAAACAATTCTGAGAAGTCAGATAAGATCCCTAGAGAATCACTGGGTTTTGATCATACTGTATGTGACATGGACATACAGTTGTTCCAGTGTATGCTTATCTACAACTTTTCACATTTTACATTGGTTTCTTCTTTGGCTTGTAATACTAGTATCATTGTTGGTTTAAAAATATTTTTTCTCTCTTTGCAATGAGTTGGTTCAAGGATACATCCTTGAACTTGCAACATATTACTTGTACTACTGCCTTTGAACAAGGGATCTGTCCCTGCCATCACAGCAGTTAGGTATCCTTCCATAACATGCTGAGACAGCTGAAGACCTCACCATTCCTATCAGGCCTAAAATCACAGGTTACTCCTTCCACATGTGAACCAGAAAAATGTGTGATCCAACCCTAATTCACTCTAGTACATTTAAACAGTTTAGTTCAATTTAAATTTAAATTAAGTTTTAAAATAACTGTACTTAAGATAATATGGATCACTTACATGTTCTGCTTTACATCCTGTTTCATGACTGCAAGGCTCAAGTTGATTTGATAACACACTGCAACAAGAAGATCCCCTTTGCTCCATGCTACTCTAAGCAAGCTGATGCTTGTTGGATCCCCTGTAAACCAGTTCAGATCACTAACCTGACACGAGACTAGCCCAGTTGGGAAAAAAAAGCAAATGGTTTTCTGTGTGAGCTGAAGCAGCCCAGCAAGTTCTCAGCTGTGCTAGCCCTAACTTTGAGCAGCTCAAAGGTTGTTTTTGTTGCAGTGTGACTGCCCTCGAATAAGAAAGGCTAACCTGAGGGAGGCACTTAGCACTGCAGAGAAAATAAACTGTTCTTAAAATTGAGTGATGCACAAGGATGACAATCTCTCCAAAACTTTGCTGTCATTCAGTACAATGTCCCCCCAGAAATGTTCTTTTCTTCCAGAAAATAAAAAATACTAATTTTATTTATTAAAATAAGCAGGTATTTCAAGACATAGGTATCTGTTTTTAAATGCTGTTGTTCAGGTGAGAACAGCAAAAAAGCACTGAGGCAAAGAACTGTCTAAATTCGTAGTAGGTCAGAGCAGAGAATCGCAGAGCACACTTGTAGTCTCTATTTGGAAACTGTTTGTATCAACACTAGAGGGTAGATATGAAGCAAGAACTGACAGGAAAAAAAAGAACACAAGTGGCTTTCTGAAGATTTTCTCAGAACACTTCCAGAGAGTGGGATTTACCTGACAAACAAAGGTCCAAAGAAGGTAGACTTCCCTTTGTGTGGGATTCCACTTCTATTCTGTGTTGTGGCTGCAAAGCAGAGCTTGCTTTTTGTAATTCTTTAGTCAGAAAGCTATCTCCTCCTTTCCTGCTGCTCACATTTATTTTTGGTCAAAGATGGTAAGAGATGTCAACGGCATGGGGCATTTGGCATCATCTAGTATTTAGGTGCTACTCCCATTTATACAGACAACAATTAATTTACTTGAATATGTAGGATGCTGAGATAATTAAATCAAAGTGGCATCAAGACAATCTTTCTTCACTGCAGTTGTAGTTACGATTCCTTATCACTTTTTGCTTAGAGACAGGGTAACATGAACGTTGTACATTTAGAATTCTGATTGTCTAGAGCTATGGTCTGTCTCATTTTGACAGCATCCCTCAGGGTAGTGACAACAGGCAAAATGGATGTCACTGGAGTGAAGGATTTCTCAAAAAAAGTACCTTCAAAAATAACATTAGTTAATCCCACTCATTCTTCCAGTGTATTTTTATATCCATCTGAGCTTGTGCTGTGGGTCTCCTCTGATCACAGCTTTACATTTATTACAGTCACACAGTATTTAGTCTAGGAACACTTGTTACCGTAAAAGCCAGCTTACAGGCAAGTTAAATGTAAGTTAGGACACCATCTGAAACATGCTAAATGGTTACATGTAGGACTAAAAGTGTTTTGAAGGAGAGACCTTCTTAGACATAGATCTACAACATGGTTCCTTTTTAGCAGAAAGGTCAGACCAAGTTGTTTCCATGTAACTGCTCCTGAGAATCTTAATATAAATTACATCATGAAAATTATACCGCTTAAAACCAACACCAAGTAATGATGACAAGAGCAGCAATCCTATAGAAAACAGATCTTTGCTCTTCTTCCTCAAATATCTACACTATTACTATTACACTATTAGTAGATTAGTAATTAATTTACTAATTATTATTACTGAATAGGGGACTATTCAGGTTACTGTAAGGGCAAATCTGTCTCCTCCTCAGTTTGCAAATGGCAATACTGTTAAATTTTGAGGTGTGACAGATAAATGGAGCAATCACCACTCCTACCCATATTAAAAAGTTCCACTCTTCTCTAAAGCACACTCATTCACTGAGAAGAGTGGGTCACTTTACAAGTCTTCGATAGCGCTGTTAGATTTATCTCCCGGTAGACCAAATTATATTTGGGCCAAATGCTGGAGAATGAGCTTCAGGGAGCAGAAATGCTTGTATTGTTGGTGGATCCACAAGCACTATCAGCATCACTGTCCCTTAAAAGACTCACTCTCCAGATTCTCAACCTTTGTTCCTTCTCCTGCAGCAAGGTCTCCTTTGTGTTGGCACAAAGCACTCATGTGGCCAAGCAGTTAACCAACTGACAGAACTGATTTAAATTAAAACCTAATAAAAAGCCCCTCCAAACAATCCTGCTTTTTTTTTAAGTTCAAGGAAAGTAGTGTAAGAGACCACAGAAAAGAGCAGCCAGAACACTTTATTTGAACTGAACTACCAAACATGAACCTCCTGTGCTGTGTACAACCCTCCCTCCATGCATTAGGCTCATATTTAAGGTATGGGCAGACAAGCGAACAGAGCAATCCTGTGGAAATTACTGGGAGAGCTGGATCATGCCTACATGGATGACTCAACTACAGTCACTGTGAAGAAAAACGTCTCCAACTTTATGGCTAGGTTCGTTTAATGGAAAGTCTGTTGACCACAATAAACATAATGGCTGTCTCTGAAACATCCTCGTGTATATATATATTTTGGCATCACATCCCTCCTGCTTTTTTCCTCTCATTCTTACATTATCTCATTCCAGTTGGTTAGTCCACATCCAGAAATAAAAGCTGAGACCAAACTGCATTTTCTGACATGCACGTCTAAGAGATTTGGTTAGAATGGAAATCCGTTATCTTCACTTTCCAAAAACGAATGTTCAGGAACCTGAGCCCTGCAGGAAGTTATGTAAAACAACTGAGCAGATATAGCAGCTCACCACAGCAAAAAGGTGTTACTCCTCCTCCCTTCCTGCAGGAATAAGCTTTGTGGATCTGGGCTATCAGCACCTAGCAACACAGAATGGCCTATAAAAGTAATTCAAGGTAGAACTAAAAGATAAAGTCTGACTACATCCACATTCACTAAGTGTCTCTGAAAGTATTCAGGAATGTTTTACCAGCACATAGAGTGTGAATATTCCAGTAAAACAGTATACAGACTCAATCACTAGCTAGACAAACACCCAGTATATTCCTAGGGAATTTACATAGAAACATGGTTAATTACAAAGTTAGGCATTTAGACAATTAAAACATTTAACACTGCAGTTCTGGCCTCTGGGGATGGGGGATCTGCTGAACCCATAACGGGTTCTTGAGATGAAGAGGTAAATATGTTACATACCAAATTATCAGGATCATTACCTGTAGCATATCCATGTTCCTCAGAAAATTCCCATCTGAGTACTATTGCCATTTTAAGCTTTTTGTTCAAAAGATTAATGGTGTAAGACAGGATACGAATAGGTTGCCAAATAGCCTTTTAAAAAAATTATCTTGTAACTAAGAGGTTGTACATAAAATGTACGTACTTTCATTACGTTATATTGAGTATAGGTATTTGGAAGGATGGCTGATGGGAAGCAACCAGTACTTTTACCAGATTGAAAGAGAAGTAAAAATTCTTAACTTATGTTGGTGATTATTTGGGTTCTGTTGCATAGGTCTTAATAGTGGACAGTGGCAGGGAAGGTATCAAAAAAGTGTGTTGGCCAAGCCTCCACTCTCCGTTCACTGTGATTCTTGTAACAAATTCCATACATAGACCCTGCTGAGTTGGGACAAGGAGCATTCACTGACTTAATAGGACTCCCACCTGCACAGAAGAGGGCTTTTAAAGACTTTTTCTAAAAATCAGTACAAAGCTGGATACACTCAGGTTTCAGTACACAGTATTACTGCCAAAAAATATTTTCCAAGGAATTTTGCAAAAAGTTAACAGAAATCACACTTGTTGCAAGACTAACTTTGCAAATTTGTCCTGGTCAAGGACTCAAATGACGTTTAATAGATTTGTAATTCAAAAGTACTCCTCCTCCCTCACCGCCCCCAAGAAGAAAGTCCTCTCCTTACCCGTATCCTCTGACTTTATTTTGGCATGCTGTCAGTGGACTTTGCAGTGACTTTGTTCCCTGGCTTACAGATTGTAAAGATGATTTAGAACATCCACTTTTAAGCCTTGTTAACGTCAACTTCAGTGTAACAGCATTAGCTTTAGCAGCTTTAAAGTTTCAAACATTATGAGAATTCACTGCTAACACATCTGTAAAATGTGTTAAAACCAGATGAAAATCACTTTAAAATGGTCTCGAGTTAAACTGGTACAATGTTCCTAGTGTGTGGAAGGCCTTGATTAGCCTGTGAGTAGGACTATGACTGGTTTTCATTTTAACTCACAGTTCACCATTATATTATGCATTAAAAGACAATAAAAAGCCAAGTTCTAACTTTTGCTACAAAGGAGTGTGAATTTAAGCCTCAACAATCTAGCAGCTGCTGTTTAATTAAAGAAAACCAAACAAAACCAACCACCCCAACCACTTTTAAAGTTGTTGCTTATGTCAAGATACTGAAATTCCAAGTCTATCTTCTATCTTTCATGACGTGCCTCCTTGTGGGCCTGCTCCAGAACCTTGCTTAGAAACACATACTGATTTTTCATGCAGAATAGTTTCAGTGAAACAATGAGCACCACTCACACACATGCTTAAATATTCTGGCGACTTGATCCAGCATATGGAGTTTCAATTTTTCAGTTACAAACATCCTCACTGAAGTAAATCTCTCCAGTGCTGTAATATCTTTTTAACACTGTAATACAAATTATCAAGTCATTTTAAGCCATTTATCAGAAACAGCAAAGTCATCTGCATTGCTGCAACCAGCTACATCAAAACATGAAGCACAAAAAAATTATGCTGCATGTTTTTATGGCATGTAACAAATATTCTGGATCTTTATGTATACAGATAAGATTTCAAATATGAGAAATTTTAACATGTTCCCAACAGCTGCTTCATCTTTGTGGATCAGTAATCTCAAAAATTAAGTTTGATACAATGCCATACTTGAATATACTGATTTTTAAAATCTAAGATGAAATAAGGGCCAAATTCTGTAATCTGATTTATTGCACAGGACTAATCTGCCTATAAAAGACCATGCCTACGAGTTATCTCAGGCCAGTTGTCATTACCTAAGCATCCTTATAATTTGAAGGTGAGGTCTAAAGACTGTCTTTTCTGGTGGCAAATCAAATTTCTGTTAGTCACTTAGGCCTGATTGGGACTGCCCTTTAATACCTACCATACCTACCTTTCATATTTACTTATTTTTAGAGACACTTCTTAGTTTTTAAGATTAAAAGAACGGGCTTAATGAAATTTACTGATACAGTTAATGCTAAGGTTTAGCATTAACTGGTTTTCAAGAGACATTCCAAAAAAAAGGAAGAAAAACAGCTGTTATCCTATTACTTCCTGATAGGGACGCCACCTCTTCTACACTTCACAGTAAGAAAAATGAAAAGAGGTTAGAGAAGCATTAGAGAAAGAAATGGGAACATTAACATCTTTAACAGAATTTTACTGAGCACTTGCAAAAGTATATTGAACCTAACTGAACAGACTGTTTTACTTTACACATGCAATAATGTTTATGTCTCTTAAGAAAGCATCCCTTAAAATTTTTGATACTTAATGAGTTAGAAGATCAGAATCAGAGGTAGAGCATGTATGCCTTTAGGTGTGTATCTTCCTGTAGAACTTATGAGTTGCTTATGGTTTCAATTACAGCATTAGTATTACTGTTTACAGTTGTGTCCTCCACAGGGGATATTTGATATTGAAGAGCTCATGGAAATCAAATATACTTGTCAAGTGCCCATCAGGAAAAAAAGATAAAAATTAAAAATGTGTATTGAAAAATCATTAAATAAGGTTGCAATGAAAACTGAGATAATAAGATGCAAAGCAATGAAAATGCATCAATCATTTTATTTCCAACTAAGAAACTCCATGTCCACCAGTGTAAATGTGTAAGCATAAATGAGGTAAGATTTTTTTCCAGCCTCTTCACAGAAAAATGGCGCAACCTAAAATGAGACTATTGGTTACATGGCTTTGTTTCTTTGACTCTGCAGCTCTATCGCTCCCAATAAAAATGTTTTTGATGGACACTGGCAAATATATATATATATAAATGAAACACCTACAACCCAAATAGAATTATTAGTATATGAGAGTCAGGTAGGGATGCCAGTAAAAGTATATGAAACTCAGCTGTAATAAACAGAAAATCTCAATGTAAACATTTTTCTGTCGTCGGTCCAAAACAATTTCAGAGCAACTTTTGCGCGTCTCTGACCAAAGAACGTATCGTTTTATCTATTCAGTGCATGTGCGCTTAGAGAAGCCCCCCTCCCCAGCCTGTCGGGAATGTGACTTAGCCCACTTTTTGCAAGTGGCAGGTTAAGCACAGGCGTCTGTACCACGGAAGCCAAGCATGTGCTACAAAACTAGCACGTGTTTGGCTGTGCATGTCTTCCCCCGCGGAGGATGTACCTTTCCGGCGCCACTGAAAATATGGTTAGTGCATGTCAGTGCGTAACGGTATTACTTTGAATATCAGACGGAGCAGAACCCAAACCTCATTTTGCAGCTCTGCACCCCCACGGATCACAGTGAAGCTAGTCGGGTTTACATCGCCATAGACACGTCAAGTAGAAAAGAAGTTTTATTATGTCGTGGTGATGACTCTAAACAACTGCGGCTCGCAGGAGCCTAAAAACTCTTAAGAGCCACCCCACTTCGGTGGTCTCGATGGGTGTGAACTGCACTTTAACGTAAGCGCCTCGACTAACTCCGGGGACGACGGGCAGCCTGGCCGCGCCGCGCGGGGCCGCCGGTAGCCTGCCTCGTTTACATACGGGGGGGCAGCCCCGGGC